TGCACATTTTACCCGTTTGTAGTACATAATAAAACGTTATGTCAAACTTAAACCTGAGATGTTTGCAAGACCTAAATAAACCTTTACAGACCTATACTGCTCAGTTTATATTAGGGATGTAGTGGTCGTTGACCTTAAATTATTAAATTAAATTAGCAAATAAACCGTCCCTGTTACCTTACCATTACCGGAATTGTGATTTGATTTTACAAGTTCGCATTGTCACGAAACTCGATAAAAATTCTTCACGCAATGTAAACTGTTCGTATCGTTCGGTTTTGTTTTATGATACTAGTACGTTCTCGTCGTATTGTTCATGAATACTGTAGTACAATATGTTATCGTCGTATACCGTGATAGTACCGTCGGACCCCGCCATGCATAAATACACGAAAGCGTGTTGTCTCCTTGCACGAACGACACCTCTCTGAGTTTCTAAGGTTAGAAGTAGGGTACTGAACTAGAAGTCGAAAAAGCTCGACTATCCGTCCATAATGTTTAACTCCCACCTTTTATACACCTGTGTGTCACCTCGTAGAGAACCGAGCCACGGGAAAGAGAATAGACGTTCCAACACTTAAGAGAAATCAAGGGGTAACCTGTTCACCTCCTGTTAGTGAGCTGTCATCAACTCACTGGCACAAACATCTGCTCCGCCACCCCACCCGTCCATAGTTTAGAGTGTCTCCATACTACGAGAACGTCATGAGCACATACTACACGTATATGTCTCCACAATAATTCAGTCCTTAGTGACGTGGAAGTCGCGCGCGCACACAGACCAGATAGACACACGCACAACACAAACACACATATATAATCACAACGAGTCATCACACACACACAATTGACAAACACTCACACAAATTTCGATAAAGAGATAGTAATCGTCGCTAAATTGGGACGGGAGAACTGCTCATTTAGAAAGGAATTACGTCGGACCTAGTACACACCGGATCAAAAAACATGAGTAATTCTCATGCTTTTGACTCGCTTAGTCGTGTATTGTGTCTTTGCGGCAGCTTTGCCTCCGTTAAATTGTCGCCTAAACGTCGGCGTCGCGAAACAGTACAGTTCCACCACTAAAAGTCCCCTGGTTTGCGTGAATCCGCTGTTTTTCTTCCTCTCTCATCAACGTCCCGCAGTGTGGTCTAGACCGTAAAGTTTCGTCGCTTTCGAGCAACACGAAACTCGTCGGGCACTTACAAGGGACTTCCGACAAGTAGACGACTCGACGTCGGGCTTAGACATGTAGACTGGAAATGTGTTGTTCGTGAAATATCTAATCTAACGAACGTGAAACCTCTCGGGGATTGGGAAAAACCTCCCCCCACATTTTTTCACACCGTCTCATAAAGAGTGTCTAAGGATCCGGGCATCTGTAGAAGATAAGTAGAGATTGCAGAGCGCCCTTGACTTTTAATGAACCTTCTCACCCACCTTCTCGTGTGCTTGTGTGCCATCCGTCAACCACAATACCGTCTGTCCCCTCCGCGTCGCCAACTGTGGTTAAGTTTAGACGTCATCCGTTGTGACCAAAGGTGACACTACGTTGAGACCTTCTCGAGAGGACTTAATTTTCAGCTTAATAATATGTGACAGATAATCTACTAAGTAGTTTTTATTACCACATTATTACTCAGAGAGGAATTCCTTAGTACGTTTTCGCTGTGAAAATTTTAGACACACACGTCTTTACACAGGTCATATAAGAGACTTTTATCCATTAAGTCGTCAAAAAAAAAAAACTACTTACTCTCAGCTTCACATATTGGAATTAAGCTGAAATTAAGGTTCCTCGGAGAAGGTCTTTCAACGTATTCACGTCACAACGGAACGCTCAAACCTCTAACCCAGTTGCGACGCGGAGGGGGACACGGAGATTCGTGCTTTGACCGAGGCACCAAACGAACACAGAAGTGGTGGAGAAGGGTTCATCAAACAGCTAAGGGCGCTCTGCAATCTCACTTATCTGTACAAGCCCGGATCCCTTAACACTCTTTGCATTGAGACGTTGGAAAAAAGTGGGGTGGAGTTTTTCCCAAATCCACAGAGTTCCGTTCGTTAAGATTAGATATTCACGAACACACATTTCAGTCTACATGTCTAAGTCCCGGCAAAAAAAAAAATTAAAAAAAAGAAAAAAAAAAAAAAAAAAAAAAAAAAAAAAAATCCCGACGCGAGCGAAAGAAAAAAAAAATACTAGTCGAGAAGAGATATACCCTCATAATGTAAGTAACAAGACAGGAGTTAATTAAGTAGTTGCATAAACAGAAAGCGACAGAAACTATAAAATAACTAAGAAAACAACACTATAAAAGTAGACGAATAAAAGAAAAGAGGAAGAACAGAAAAATATAAAACAAAAAAGAGAAGAAATATTAAGTGGGAATGAAAAAAAAAATAGACAACAAAGTAATACGCGAGAGAGAGCAAAGACGACATAAAGGTCGAGAAAAACAGTCGAAGAAAGAACACAAGATACACGACAGAATAAGACGAGTACAAAAGAGCGAAAAAGAGAAATAAACAATAATATATTATATTAATTGAGAATAACGGATGTAGATACTAGGTCCGAACGTATCCTTCTCAAAGCATTCTATTCCCTCCATCCCAGTACGCGGATTTGGACGTCACGCTTTTATCGAAATTTGTAGTGTGTAGTGTGTAGTGGTGTGTGTAATGTGATGGATAAGATGTGTTGTGTGTGTTGGGATTGTGTGGTGTGTGTGAATGTCGTGTAGTGTAGTGTGAATAGTAGTAGTGTAAGATGAAAAAAGCGATATGAGAAAAATAATAAGAGACATGACATTATTGGAAGAAAGACAATAACGAAAGAAAATAGATGCAAAAGAATTCACCCGCCCACAGCAGAAACCAACATCTCACACATATATAGAAAGATGTAAGAAGTAGCGCGAGAAAAAATCAGTATGAAAACACAAGTAAGAGAAAAGATATGATGAAACAGCACACAACAACAGAAGGATAGAAAAGGGTATACCAAATTAAGATTTAAATATAAAATGATATTCCTATATCATCGTTCCACGCACGATACACAGGTGTATAGCAGTTCAATTTTTCACAATTAGAGTTAAGTACACATACACTTAACCTCAGCAGGAGTTAGAACAACACTACGTGTTAATGACAGGCGGGTCCGAAAGAAAAAAAATATCACGGTATACGAACGAAACAGTATGGTAAATTAAACACATAGAGAGAACGATAGACATACACACAAACAACGTACGAAAAATACAATCTTGGATAATCGAGTATAGATAAATGCAGAACTGTAAAATCACAAATTCAAATGGAAGTCAACAGGGACGAAAATATAGTAAATATATCTTAAACGACAACACACTACATCAACTGAGCTAATAGTCTGTAGTTATTAGAACAAAAAAAAGAAGCACAGTTTATAAGATATTATAACACAGATATTATCTAAATAGTAACTAAAAAGCAAATGTGCAAACTGATCATTAAATAATAAAGAGTAGGAGTAGAATACCATAAGTGACTACAAACGTTTATATTTACTCGAAAGGAGTTAACGGCGTCTTTTACACTAACAGTTTTGCTTTGCTTAATCCTCAGAGGAAAAATCAACTATACCCCGCTCCAACCAACAATAATCAATAGATAACGATGCCAAATAAGATATATATTCAATAAATTAATAAGAAAGATTATATTCGAAAGATAACAAACTTACATTCCGTAACGACATATATCGGAAACGAATGTCAACATATCATCCGCGTCTTCTAAGTGAACACAAAGACCCTCGCCGACATTAATACCCGAGCCATGTCTAGGTGAACACCCCGGGAGCAGCAAAGACCACATTTTACTGGACGCTATTTGTGGCTCTACAGATCCACTTTGTTCCATATTGAAATATCTCATCAACTATTGGACGGACTGCCATTTCATTTTGCGCACATACTTATGTCCCCCTGAAAGTTGTATATTTGGTGATCTACAGTATGATCCTTTGCAATCGTTTTTGACAAACATGTAGTGTGTATAACCTATAGAAAGCATGTTTAATAGTCTACCTTAAATATATAGGCTGATTGTTACATGGTCCTGGTGAGTGAAGTCCACTATATGTACTATAACTCACTATAACTGTAATTAATATACACATCTGTAACTACGAAAGGCGCTGTTAAAGGTCCCATGTCATGCTTTTTTGGTTATTACCCGTCCCCTTGTGTGTTATGTAGCTTTTTATGCATGTGAACAGAGTCACAAACCCTCAAAGTACACCCTGTAGGGAGTAAAACTCTAGCACAGAAAAGACCTGTCTATGCTGCCCCAGAACGCCTCGTTGGAGATTTCTCTTTTTCTTCCTGTTACCAAGTGACGTAACGACGACCAAATGGACCAATCCGTGGAGCTCCTCACACACACTCACTCAGCCTTATCTTTTCTCAGCCGCAGCTGCGTGGATCTCCACTCACAGTTCGCCACACACTCACGTGTGTATGCTCAGGCTGAATTCAGGCTGAGTTTCGCCATGTCTCGCTGTCTCGCAGACCCCACGCAGCAACCAGGACACCAGTAATCCAGCCTATGAATCCAGCTCACACTGTCGGCTCCTCGAGCCTTAAAGGGCGGAGCAGCGAGCCCCGCAACGTCCCGCCAACACGGCACCCAGACCCCACGCAGCATTCTCGCCTGTTTGTCATTACTGGTGTCATTTTCTGGTTGCTAACAAACGCCATTGTAACACATAAACACACATCAGAGCACACTGGGCTCACAGGGAGGGAGGGGGGGGGGCAGGAGCTCCAACAAGCCGTTTAGGACAGAGAGTGAATACACATACTTTACAGAGATGCTGTATGAGACACCAATGTGAGTTTGGAACATTGAACAATGTAAATCTATTCTAGTAGACCTCAACAATGGAATTATGATCAGTAGAAATGGATATGACATGGGACCTTTAAATCAATGTCCTATTTTCTATGTAAAGACACCACCTTGGACTATGACAAATAAAATCTAGAAGATTTGTTACCATTGGATTCCTGGTTGCTGGCTGACTCATGGTGAAATGCATTCTGGGTGTTGAGTGCCGGGTAGGAGGCGGACGGAGGAAAGACGGGGGTGGGCGAGGTGACAAACTCACCGGAGTCACCTGCAGGGAAGAAGCACGCACGCACGCACGCACGCACGCACGCACGCACGCACGCACGCACACACACACACACACACGCTGAACGGTGTCAGGATTCCTGACTGTAATAACCCTCCTCTGGTATGTGCAGCTCATACACGGTTTCAAGTCGTCGGTGCCTTTGTGTTGATGGAACCTCCACACCCNCACACACACACACACACACACACACACACACACACACACACACACACACACACACACACAGTGAGATCAGGGAAGTATTTTTTATAATCATTTCTGTATTTAACATGGAACCCTAGAGGAAACAGAAATAGTAATAAGCTATATGAGTGGTCAAATACAAACTGAACGCTGAAATAAAAAAATTATTGAATTAATGATTTATTGGTACATATCAAATTGTCAAACCTCCAGTTGTTTGTTCAGAAATGAGGAATAAAGTGTGTGATATCAATCAGTTATAACTATGTGCTAAAATGAACAACTGCTAATAAACTCAGCACTGCTAAACTCAAATTGAACGTGTTTTTGCCAGCGTATCAACAATTGGTTTGCCCCAGATATTTAATTAAAAAAGATATGAACCACATTTGAAAGCTGGCACCTGAGCAAATATTTGCTATACTTAGCAAGTGTATTCAAAAATCTAGTATCCAAATATTGACTCATCAGCTGAGCAAATATTTTGATCATTTAAACTCTTAAAGAAATACATACTTTTCCATTAACTACCTAACAGTAAATAAAAAATGTTTTAAAACTATTTTAGATAGAATAATTGTTATCTTAAAAAAAAAAGGGCTTGAGTATTGCAAAGGCTAATCTCAGAAAAAAAAAAACCTTTCCTTAATAAAAAAAAATCTGCATATACATTTTTTGAATGAACGTATAAATTCATTCCAATCAAAAAACCACTTGCAGTGAGCTCCCCTCCTCAGAGCGACATGTCCAGACCCTGAATATGAGCCTCACCTCCTGATGAGCTGCTGAAGGGGTTACTGGGGGAGAGAGCAACGGGCTGCTGGGAGGCCGAGCTAGAGCTGAATGGGTTGGGGAAATCTGAGACAGAGAGGGGGGAGAAGAGACGGGGGAGATAATTCACACTGTGGGGGTATACAGGGTGCATTCCTGTCTATTCAAACCAACACTGCTCAGATGCATCTTAATTAGGGGTGTTGGACAGAGTTAGAGATGAATGAGCAGATCGTCAACACATAGGCAGTGCATGCTGGGTACCTACTTGCAAACGTTTGGGAGCCGGAGACTGTTTCGACACCGGGGGAACTGGGGAAAAGTAGAAACACACATTAGAAAAGGGCTTCACACGCAGGGAGTTTATGTTGAACAGAAGCTGATTTGACACGTTTTGTTCTCCGTACCTTGCAGGAGTGGAGCTGGATGACAGCCTGTTGCCGAAGAGGGCGTTGTACTGCGGAGGGCCAGCAGGTGGAGCTGCGTACAAGCATTTCAAACAGAACACAATATGACCTCAGAGCGCTAATTCAAGAGATCAAGAGCTGCTTTGATCTTAATGTGTGCAAAAGAGTTGATCTTAAGCGTGTAAGTCACCAGATGAACAAAAGCGCAACAAATCCCCCTGAATAAAATGTCCTCTCTGTGTGTCTCCATATGAATCAAAGTGAGCTGGGGCAGAAAATCAATAACTTGCTTTTCTCTGCCAGGCAGGGGGGGAGGCTGTGATGAAGGTGGAAAGGAACAAAAATTCTTGTATGAAGCTCAAGGGCTTCTCACATAAATCCTGAGCACTTCAAATACAAATAAAATCGCCCACCTAGGTTATTAGAAAAATAGGGCTGATTCTTAATCGTATCAACAAGGTCCTTTACATGCGACTGTGCTCAATCCTGAGTAAACACAATAAACAGAATGCAGCTGCTAGAAGCCTTGGTATTTGGAGTAAGGATGTTATGCAACAGAGCTGAGCTGGCCGTGGCAATCTGCATCACACACACACACACACACACACACACACACACACACACACACACACACACACACACACACACACACACGCAACTCAGCCTCTCTATCTATCTATAACCTTGTGGTAGAAGGAAAACTTGTCTAGTACAAAAATGTAAAAAACACTTAATTCCAAGTCCAATACCTCCATGAAAATTAAAGCATGTATGACTGAAGTATTACAAATGAAAAAACTTCTTACACAACAAAGAAAACTTCCTAAGGAAAGAAGAAAAAAAAGACTTCTGCCACACACATTTTTATTCTTTTTTTTGTGGAAATGTTCTCTAATTTTGGCCTAGGGCCCAACTTGCTACGGCTTTTATTCACAAGGTTCGGAACCAATGGTTAAACCTTTAAAAAGTGTAATATTTTATTAGCTAAATTTGTGTTTTCATCAAAAGCAGAAATCCTTTTATTTGTCCGACAGTAGGAAAATTGTACTTGATATCCTAAATCTTACATTCTTTTAGCAAATATAGGTGTGAAATACACTTTAGCTGACAGTGTACTGGAGTATAAATATACAGGGTAATGCCTGTTCAACCCACAGCTATAACACGAGAAGAACATTTAAAGTATCTACTAACTACCTAAAATATTTCCTACCTGCAACTGTTGGTGGCTCACATGAGACGCTGTCCAGATGCGACACCGCAGCGTATCTGTCCGAGGGGTTGGAGTTGCCGGCTTGCGTTGTTGCATGGCCCGCGTTTCCAGGCTGCTGCTGGGACATAGAGTGGGGCAGAGAGTGCTGCTGCGGATGGTTCAGACCTCCAAAGTCCACGCTGAGAGATTTGGGGAAGGCCCTGAATGGCCCAGTGGTCCCTGAGGCCGATACTGTACGACCTGAGAGCGAGAAACAAGACTGGGCTTCAGTGCAAAGACACAGGACGAGAGGTTATAGACAGATAATTATACAGATAAGCAGGTATAGGTCTAAGCAAGCAGAGGGCTGAGGGGAAAAGTATAGAAATACGTGTCAAATGTTTTCAGTCTACAAGGACACATTTGAACATACAATTGAATGACAACTAGGCAACTGATAAGGAAGAGAATTTGATACGATTGAAAGCTACAAAACAAAGTGTTACTTGAGGGTAGATCATTTTTTCAAAATACTTAAATTAAAGTTTTTTCATTGCGCTAAATCCTCATCGCTATTAAAATGATTGTATGAAAGGATATTGTTATATATCAAGTTATCAATATGACAAAAAGAAACAGAGTAGTCGTTTTCATGCTAGTTCAACATTGCCATGCTATAGTCAAAGACAGGATTAGCATGTAAGGTTAAGCATTATCCAAAGATTCTAAAAAGCACAGCAGCTAGTCAGCATGTTCTTGGGCTGTTTTCAAAGCGCCAACCACAAATATACAGTTACTAGACAGTTACAAAGGCAGGAAATGTAAGTCTTTGTAGGTAGCAAGCTTTCCACAAACATTAGCCACAAAGCATGCTAGTAGTATCAGCCAAAAATGTTAGCATGGGGGTCGAGAGATTATATAAAAAATGTTTGTGTAAATCCAGCTCCCTCTGATAGTGGAGGAGTTGGTGACAGAAACCAGACTTGATTCAGATTATCTGAAGATATGAAGCATACTAAAGTCAAGCTGCGTGTTTTTGGGATGCGTTCATAAGGCTCCAGATAGCGCCTATCTCTGCTAGCATACCTGAGCTTCCTGGAATACTTGTCTGGGATGTGTATCGTGGGATTACAGCTGTGTCCTACATAGTCTGCAAGTGTTTCAACGCCAACATGGAGTGAAAAATCTGCTGCCCTCTTCTTATGGGGGTGGTAGCGGCTAAAAATAGCATTACTTTAAACGTTTTCCCCTAAGGGAACAGTGTGTGTGTGTGTGACCCTCCCAGGCTTCAAATCTGGCTTTGAGGAGGGAAAACTGATTGATGAAGGAAAATATCAACCACTTTAATGGTTAAAGTGCTGCGTTTTCTCTTAAATTGCTACTAGCATGAAGCTAATTCAAACGCATGGGAGGCATGGCCTTCCAGCATGACCCATATACTGCCCATTTATTCATTATGAATGATACAGCAAGGAAGAGCTTATCGATCTCAGCCATTCAGCACACACTCAAATACGTCGGTTTGTGCTGCGTCTTACCTAAAGTGAAGTGGTTTTTGAAAGAGCTACTGGCTAAGAGGTCGGGGAGGAGAGGACAGTGTGATGAGACAGACAGAAGACAGAAAAACAAGTTAACGGAGGAGAGAGATTTTCACTGCGATGTGTGAAACGGTTTCCCTGCTGTTATGTAAGGCCAGCTGAGTAGCCCGTTGAGCTGAAGAGCAACCGAGTGGGCTAGATGATGACATAAACCCACAGACCCATGAGATGGTTAAACACAGTCAGGATGAAAATGATGCCCGCAAGCTAAGGCTCTTTTTCTCTGCTCTTCCCAAAGTGACACTTACAGCACAGTGATGAGTGGACATGTTGTCAGTGAGAATCAGCGAGAATATCTGCGTGTCCCTGACAACCCGATGACACTGTGCACTTGCAGATTTAACAGCTAGAGGCCTTTAGAATAGAATAAAGTATATTATATATATTTAGTATCAATTCAACTGGAGGAATCGCTTTTCATTTTATCACATCTAGATGCAACATATTGTCAAATTTCTTTCCAGGAATTTATGAAAGCTGCTTATATTTTTCAAACTTTTATGTGTTTGTCTATCTCTAAATACTTTCTGACTTCTTTCGCCTGCCTATGGCTCTCAGTCCCAACCCCCGGTTCTTCCTTAAGGCATAATTCAAATACGCTTTGATTTTTGTTTAAAAGGGAAACAAAATTCTCGAAAAGTTTGAGCACTTTAGTTCTCTGAATATGTTACACAACCAGCGAATGAATATACTCTTTGTGAACTACAACCAAATAACCCCCTCTCTATTATTTTGTCCTTTTTCTTTGTATATATTGCACAATATCTTTTGATTTATGTGGAATTTGGTAAACTCATTGTGTGTGATAAATGTTTTCCAACTTGATTGAAACCAAGGAGGAATAGAAAACATGGCGGGACACACCTGAGGGCCGCGGGAGGGCGGGGAAAGAGGGAACGTGGCTCTGAGCTCCAAGCGCTGACGACAGGGACCCCGGCCGCTGTCTTTCTATCCCGCACAGGGTGGGATCTATATTATGGGAGAGATATCAGACAAAGAAAAGGGCAAATAAGTAAAGGGTTTGATCGCATCCAGTCCCGAAATATCAACTCCTCTGACTGAGATCGTCCTCCAACCTTTGAGAGAGGGGTCTCTGAAGCTCTGGGAGCGCGACGGCCGAGCGGTGAACGCGTCCGTCCGCATGTCGGCAGGCGAGATCGCAGGAGCTCGATCCCATAACGGCAGCTGGGACTGAGACTGGAGGACGAGAGACAGCAGGACAAAGAAAGAGGAGGCAGATGGGAGGTAGGGAGAACAACACAAAGGCAGAAGTATGAGTCTCTTTCATGATTTCTCAATAATTCATAAGCAGCCGCTTTGATGTCGAGGCTACCTGGCCCTCTCGCTGTCCAACCCATCAGTGTTTTTGCTGTAGTTGAATTCAGGTGGTTTCCTCACCTTCTATTCTAATACTTCTTTTTTTAACCCTCTTTGAAATACTTTCACTTCCTCTTCTTCAACTATACCCACCCACTTTCAATCTTAAATCCGCTTCCTCTCCCTTTCTTGTTTTGTTCAATCCATTACAATCATGAAACATTAGGCTCTCTCACCAGTGGCCTTGTGGACCTGGCGTTTGGGGGCAGGTTATGTGAGGGGGCCTGGCTCGCTAAGGGACCGTGGGAAGGGGGCACTGCCTGGACCCCCGGGCTCCAAGGACCCTCGACATCTCTCCGGTTCTTACTTTTGGAAAAATGCCTGAAAGAGACAGGTTATTTAGTACCGTTGAAATGAGTCTGTGCCAGTGCCTGGCCTCGTAAAAAGCACAATCAAGGCTTGACATTAAGTGAGTTACACACCTATCGAACAACATGACAAGAGAACATTTATTTAGGGCTCGGAAGTAAACCCAAAACAATGACTGTCCTCTTACTCCAAGCAAATAAAGCAGCTTTTGTTCTTGAGCTAATTTTTCTAAGTAGGCGTCTCTATTTGAAACAGTGAATGTCTACATTTGGAACAAACGTTAGATTAGATGTTGTTTGGAACATATTTTCTCTGTTGTGCCCTTTCACTTTTAGAAACTGAAACAATTGAAAGTCCATTAACAGGTAATGCATCTGAATTAAGAACTCTGACAATGATTAATTGAACCTAAACAAGCAAAAATGCTGCATCAAGACTCACGAAGCTACAGCCTTGCTTTGTGAAGCTGTACTGAAACTCAGTGTGCTATGAGCTACTAACTATAACAATTATAACCTTAAAAAGTCATGTTCCTACATACAATGCAGCTAAAAAACGCTTTACATTAATTTGTAATCATGAAAATGCTGACATTAAGCGGGTATGTTTACCATTTGGTTTTAGCAAGATAGCATGCTAGCATTTCTGAAATAGCACTAAACAGTCAAATACAGCTGAGGCTGATGGAAATGTCATTTGTTTTGCAGGTATTTGGTCGTTATCTGAAGTTTTGGACGAAAATGTGTTTACTCAATGATGGACTTACGTGCTACAGAGCTAATTGAGCTAAATGCTAATGTAAGCATGCTCATAACATAGTCATATTTAGCAGGTATGATGTCAACCATCGCTGACATATTATCGTTGTTGAGATATTTCAATAAAAACTAAAAATGTCAACCTAGTGTCAACCTAGCAAAGGAGGACACTAGGAATATGACCAAAGCCATAAGGAATAATTCTCTAGGGACCATCAATGTCTTTTGAAAATGTCATGACAATTCATCCAAGAGAAGGGTTTTGAAAACATTTCAGGAAAAATTGTATTTCTGAAGATACCATTGTGGAGGCTATTGATTTTCCCCCTATTTTCTGACATTTAAAACATCACATATTTGAATAAATAAAAAAGAATCATCAGATAATGGCAGTCCAATTCACCTCTAGGCTTGTAATCACATTAGCTTATGCTATCAGTTAAGCATACCAAACCAAAGTTCTCACCACTTTTTCTTCTCAAATTTGTCCTGAAGGAACTCTTTGAACTTCTGAGAGTCCTTCATGTCTGGGCAGCTGTCCGTCTTTGGGTCAAACACGCAGAGCCATGTCCTCCTCCCAACCTAAACACACATATCGCCAGAGAACAATTACAATTTGCGACAATTTTGCAGGTCATCCAGCACCCAAAAAAGGGTCAGGGTAATCTCTCACAAACAGAACATCTCATCAGTGATTCGTTTTTGGTTCAAGAGTGCCACACAATATATAACAGCCTGTGACTCATGATTGGCCGGATCACTCTTCAGAGGACGATGTGGTGACGGTACACACCTCTGCCTCTCCTCCCCATTATGCTTGACTCACCCATACACAAATCCTAGCCAAAGGCAAGCTCATAAAAGTGGCCAGCATTTATTTTGATGGCCTGAAACACTCCACCGTTTATTTGTGTGAAATAAGCTCAGCTGTTGTGCTGCCCACACCAGTGATTCCTTAAAATGGGTGCTGTGTGGAGAGGCTTTTAATAAAGATTGACATAAAAAAAGGGAGGTAGCGAACAGAAAACAATAGAAAAAAACCTCAACAAAGTCATATTAAGATCTGGAAATAGATCTTGGTTTGGGTGGGACCAGAGAGGGCTGGTCCTTTTGTGTCTTGGCAGAAGTATTCTTCTCAAGAAAAAGTGCCAGACAACAAAGACTGGTTCATCTGGTAGCCATGAGGGAGGTTTCATATTCCAGATCAGAACCAGAAAGGGACTTTACAGTAACACCTGAAGATGAAAACACAGACCAACAAGCTTTGGTACTCGTTTATTGACCTCAGGTAACCTTACAAGTGTCCACAAGACAATACAAAATACATAAATGCATATTTGTGAACGTCACTCACCTCGTTGCCATGATTTTGAAGGAATTCCACTTCCTGTTGGGAGAAGGTTGTCATGGAGATAGACTTGACTCGATGGGGAGGGTTGAGGCCTCTCCTGGGAGAGATGGAGAGAGGAATTTGGAGTAAACAAAAAAAAGGAGGCAAAATTAAAAATGTGTAGTGATACCTTGCCTCTGAAGACAGGATAAGGGGGCAGAGCAGGTGGGAGAGGAAGCATTTCTCATACCGTGAACTTTAGAGGGCAGAATCAGTGTGAAATAAGGTGCCTTGTGACAGAAACCCATGTGTTTACTAACCAGAACCTCTTATTATCTCCATGCTGGGGACACAAAGTGGGACAACTGCTGTGTGCATGTGGGATATTGCGTAATGAAAGTGCTGAAACCATGGTCTTCCAGTGTGTGAGGGAGTAACATGCGGAACAGAATGTGACAACACACACACACACACACACACACACACACACACACACACACACACACACACACACACACACACACACACACACACAACACACACACACACACACACACACACACACACACATATAACACACATATAACACACACCCACACTGGAGAGAAGAGTAGAAGGAGGGGGTTAGTGTCAAACCTGCACCATGACGCAAATTAAACGGTAACTCAGGAGCTGCGAAAATGACCAAACTAGCCGTCTTGTCGTTTATGAAGCTGTTGGAAGACACGCATGAGAGAGAGAGAGAGAGAGAGAGAGAGAGAGAGAGAGAGAGAGAGAGAGAGAGAGAGAGAGAGAGAGAGAAAGGGAGAGGAGGGAGACACTGCGTAAATTAATATCTGCTCACACTCCCGGCTTTTGCACCACACTCCCCCTAATAAATACAAAAACATGTTAATCTGGGTGGTGGTTGTGGTGGTGCATTCTCCGGCCTGTCACTTTTTAAATCAGCAGCAGTAAATGAAGGAGGCGCGGCGGAGGTTTTTTTTTTTTTACTCACAGCATTCCGGAGCACGACGTGCAGACGAAGCTGCCCACCGTGATGTCGGTGTAAGTCACCCCGGGCTGGTTGCACTCGAAGCAGTGTTTGTTTACTCCAGACTGGGCCAGCTCTCGGACCTTGCGGGCGCATATCTCCTGATTGTCCCGGTGCTTTCGGTTCGACATGGTATCCCTCCGGTGCCCGGCTGACAGGTTCGGTGTAGAGCCGGTAACCCTCCGCTGTCCTCCACCTGAATCCCCCTATGTTTTTTTTTTTTTTTACTACATGGAGCACTTCACAGCCCGCATAGAGGCTTTATGCGGCTACAACCAAACGCAAGGCTACACTGAGGAGAGGCACGTCAAGATAGATTCAATTAGCTGCACATACACCGGAAGTACCGCGGATTTCCTTCAAAATAAAAGTAGAAACACAGGTGACGCTTTGCTGTTAGGCAACTCTCAATTTTACTTTCAGGTTGCCTGTTTCTTTAAAAAGTGTGTTCCAATTTAACACTGGTTATCTCATCACAATGTTAGTAGGTCAGAGTATTTTCCAGTATATCTGTGTTTATTCAGCTTTCTTTACTGATTACTTTGACATGAATACACATGAAAAATTTCAGAGTTTACGGGTAAAAACAACTTACCGCAAGGTCAAAGTACATCAGCATTTTTAAGCTATAAAACCTGCCTATTCATCAATGTGTTGATTCAAAAGTGTTAAAGCACATTATTTGCATATAGGCTTCCTTTTGTATTCTTGTTCCTTATAATTTAATCAAATTGAGATCACACTGTTTAACTACTAATGATGTTATTACATCTTGTATCTGTGAAGCACATTGAACTGCACTATCCTGTATAAAGGATGCCTTACAAATAAAGTTTGATTGACTGATTGGTTGTCTCATTGATTGGTTCACTGACACACTGCTTTGATTGTATCACTTCAACAGCAAATGTCAACAGCCATTTGCAGTTGTCATGTTTGTATAGCATTCATTTTTGGCTTAAACATGTAGACTAAACTCTCATCTATCTCAGCATTACAGATTTTCATTCAAAAACAAGTGGCCTGTTTATGACTATCATGCTGTTTGATGCAATATTGTACCAAGACCTGAAGGCCTCATATTTTCTATGTAGCATACACTTTGAGGTAATTTAATAAAAAAGCTATTTTTGGTCAGTAAAATTATACATGCCCAGTATCTGACAGTTAGGAGATGACAGGAAACGATGGGGGGGGGGAGATAGGGAATAACATGCAACACAGATCTTTGACCGGACGCGAACTGAGGACAGTGGTCTGCGGTTTATGGCCAGAGCCTTAACCCCTGAGTCACCAAAGCATTCCCAAAATGTACCTCTAATATTTTAATAATTCAGTTGATATACGGTGTGTTTACATTGTTCATACCCAACAATAACCTTTGCCCTAGTGAGTGGGTTAATCCTACTTGATATTATATTGTTTTAAATCTGTGCAGCTGTGCTTTAACTGCCCAGTCATAAATGTGGATGGTAAGAAAGCCCTGACTGAGTTTCCCAAGTCAATATTGGGAATAAATGTGCCATAGGTCATGTCTTGTATTTTCTCCATATTTAGCCTATTTATATTTTTTGTTGACAACCTAGAATAAGTTAAGTTTATGACATTTATATAAACCAGGGTAAATAAACAAAAATGCATTCATCTTAAAAACAACAGATATATAGATGCTTTGTACCCAAATGATTTACCAGCTAATTAACGTCTTTAGTCCCTATGCCAGCCAGACTTTTATTTTGAAAAATCTGTAATACCTGAAATTGTGTGTGGGTTGACACTTGGACAGGCGCGTCGGGAATCTCCTGTCAGAGAAAAACAAGAACCTGTCGATCAGCCAAGTTTTACATCGTCTAAGAATCGTTGTATTACTCTTTAAGATCCGACTATTTGTCCTGAGTGCCTCACTCTGCTGCGCTTTCTCTGTGCGCCATTTACGCACAACACGCCCCCGTATTTTTGGCGCAGCGCTCCTGACACTCCAGCGCGCTCTGGCAAGGGGACAGATTATTTTATGGGAGACAAGAACAGCTTGGGAAAGCGGAGACAAAGTAAATAAGTATTGGTGAATAATTGATAATATCTAAAGTTTGTACAAAGTAAACATGTGTTTTGTAGGCTACATGTTTGAACAGTTTGTGTCTGGTATCAGTTTCTTTTTAAACCTGTTCTTCTTGGCTGTATTTCCAAGGGGTAATGCCATCATTTTAAATACAGGTTTTTACAAATGTCTTTGTCGTGAGAGAACATCTCCGGACTATTTATTTTGATGAAGCAACTAAGCAACATATCTAACTACGCCCTTTATGTGACGTCTATGGGGTTATATTTAAAATCACACAGGCAGAGACAGTCCCATCAGTTCAGTGGTGAGTGAATGCATCAAGGAAATGTGATTTTTTTTAAAGATAGCCTCACAGAGAAAACCAGATAAGATCCTTTGCAACATGAAGCAAAGTAAAGGAAGAAATCAGTCACAGTGTTTTTACGTGAATTGCAGTGGCAGTGGATGATCAGCAGGGGGAGCCACATACAACATGAGGTGGATGGAAACAGATCATTTAAATAATATATTTGCATTTCAACACAAAACTAAGCAGAACATACAAACAATGCTGTTCATCCTCTGTAAGTACACTTCCCTGTTCAGCATTGAACCACAGGCTGCATGGTGTATGTGGCTGTGGTGATGATGGCAAAATGCAGATTGCTTGTGTAATGTTGCCCAACACGTTGTAAGTGCACGGTTGTTTGGCTTTTTGTGAGATGATGGAAGCCTCTGTCTGCCATAAAATGAATAAAACACTTTTTCAATATCTCGTCATTTTGAGTTGACTTTGTTTATTTTTTCTGAAAATCTCATTGTTTATTTCTGAATTAGTACATAATAATACACATTTGTACTTACTGTCCCATATTGTATTAATTTAATTACTTGTATAAATCATTTCAATTTTTTTCAATTAGTATTTGGAAATATACTTTTTTTTAACTTAGATTCTCATGTTTTTTTTTAACGTATTATACCACATTTTGACTATTTTAAGCCTTACCTCTGACTTTTATGTATACAGTTATATTTATCTGCTTAGTATTGAATTATTATGTTACTGTATCATATTTTTGATTCATTATTTCATCATTTTTATTAAGTAAGTTATAGTTTTCACTTATGCTTGTTTTCACCTAGTGTGTTTCTTTCATATGTTGCATTATTTATTTCCCTTATCTTCGTAGGATAAGCTTCCACTTTAGATAGATACATTTTCAGAAGACTTTACTTCCTTTTTCACCTCTCAAAAAAAAGAAAACAAGAAGGTTGCCAGACAAGAATATACACCGATACACACCCAGTCTCTGCATGTGTTTTGCACTTCACTGAAGCTGAAAAGCAGAATACACAAGCAGCAAAAGCAGAAACCAAATAATCCACACGTGCCTACTGTAGAATGATATCATTATCAGAGAAAAGTACATAATTACACTCCATTTTTCAATATGATTCACCAAGTAGATTTAGACTCAAAGTTATATTAGAGACTTTTTAGTGTAACCTTTAATTTAGAGAATTTCCTACCACAATTTGCCATGAGTAAGAAACCCGGAAATAGTGTGTGTGTGTGAGGGGGTTGGACCTCGTGTATGTGTGTGTGTGTGTGTGTCAGGAGGGAGAGAGAGAGAGAGAAAGATAAAGAGAGTACTCCAGTCTCTGGAAGGAGAAACATCAACCGGTCTGATTTCATCTTATTTATTTGGGAATACACACCTTTATCGATCAATAAGGATACTTCCTTGCAGAGGGAACTTTGTGCAGCATCCTTTCTAGCGGAAACGAGGACTAACTTGCTTTCTTTTTCCCAGGATATAATGATATGATCATATATGAGCTGCTTTCATTCACAAGTGGTATTGTGGCTCCTCGGATGCGCGAGGCACACGGTGTCCCTTCAGAAGAGAAAAAGCAAAAACAGGACGAGCTGCGGAAGGAATACAAATTATACTTTTGAAAGAAAACGCTCCGAGAGGGAGAAGAATGAGTAAAAAGTGCCGGTGAGGAGCCTTAAAAAAGCGAGGAGGATTCAGTGTGTTCTGCGCCAGGCTGCTGTCAACTTCCTGAGGACTCAAAGGCATACAGAAAAGTGTGATCTGCGACTATAAACGCAGGGATGACAGTCAAACTGGACTTTGAGGAGTGTTTGAAAGACTCCCCCCGCTTCAGGTAAGAGTTTCACCTGTGCTTTAGTGCTAAAAGTGAAGTAGCCAATCAAAATGAAGCAACGACACATCAGAAAGTGTGTCAAATCACCTTCTGGAATTGAAAATGATGCAAAAAAAGAAGCGTACACCATATTGTATTCATTTTTTGGATTTGTTCGGATGGTCTTTTATGCAGAAGCCTCAAAATGACTTTTAATGCATTAAATAGTTACCTAAGAAGTCAACTTTGACAGTCAGCAGCCCCAAACCCTCATTATCCTGATTCAAAATCAACATACTTCCAATTATATTCCTTTTTCGGAAGGTTTTTCATGCAATAGCCTTGTTTAAATGGCGCGTAAGTATCCAAAAATGACTTTTAAGGCATTAAATGTTCCCTTAAAAGTCAATTGTGTTGGTCAGCAGCATCTTTGGGTCTTAGGTCAAGCCATGTTCTATCATAGCAAGTGTTAGGGGTCGATAAGGGGGAATGAGAAGCTAAATGCAGGCCTTCAGGGCTAAACCCCCCCCTGATCTGAGGTCTGCTCTGTGTTGCATTTTGACGTGTCATTGACATACCGGAAGCCTAAATTAATCGTATTTTAATCGCAATTACGATTTTGTCTTGCAACGATTATGAAAACAACATGATCGAAATAAAACGATTAATTTTTTTATTTATTTTTTATTGGTTTTTCAGTTGAATTATACTTAAAGTTCAGGGTAATAAACTGTTAAAAACATACTGTTCACATTTTTTTTTCAATAAATGGATGTTTTCAAAGTAAATGGATAATCGTTTTTAATAATCGTGATGTCAATTATTGACCCAAATAATCGAGATTATGATTTTTGCCATAATCGAGCAGCCCTAGTTTTAATATCACTTGACTTGACTTACTTCAAGCCTTCACAGTGTAATTAAAAGCCTCTAGTGTTCCTAAATGCTGTCAATATTGATCTGCTGCATGCCAGCTAGATTCTTCAATCAACCTTCTTTCAACACACAGTCAACATCTGGTGTAATCAAAAGGGAAGTGTCTCTAAATTGGTTTTGCAAGCGACTCTAGAGAGGACTTGGCAGATTTTGGGTGTGCCCTGATGGCTGTTGGCATCCTGCCTGAGTCACAGTAGCTGCTGTCTTCTCTTCCAGCTGATTTGGCATGTTCCCGTCCCAAAGCCTCGGCCTCTCTTTCTCTGTTGGCCTTATTCAGCGAATGTGTCTTGCACAGTGGTGGAAAGTTTGACTTTTGCCAGCTGCAACAGTGAGGTCTCGAGTCAGGGCGAGAGCAGAAGAAGCAGTGAGAGGGAAAGGGAAGGAAAAAGTGAACTTGCATGCAAACACGGTCAATCCTATACAGGTAAGCAGAGAATGTGAAGGAAGACAGAAAAGATTTGCACTGACAGCTCAGGACTCAAATGGGCTGCCTCCTGTTGCTAGGAAACGGCGAGGTGGGGGGGGCAACAGGAAGTGAGGCGAGATGTGCAGAGGTGATCAACAGGGGAGGCAGGAAGTGTGGGGAGAACCACGGCGGAAACTTCACTTTAGCACTTTCTTCATTTGCTTTCTTGCTGTGACACTTGCTCAGAGCAATGTGAACAGAATGTGCCTCTTCAATGGAGAGATCTTGCATCTTCCTCCTTCCCTCTCTCCTTAGCTGACTTGTCATTTGGTCGTATTTCAAGAGGACATGACCTCAGACGTTGAATCAAACATCCCCGCACTAACAAACACAGAAAACACAAACAGTTACTGTGTCTTCAGGCCCTCCTCTCTCCACTCAGTCTCGCCTCTTCCTCTCTCTCTCACTGTCTGTTTCTCTGTACTGTTGGTGGAAGGCGGCGGAAACCACATGTTTGAGCTGTTAGTAAGAGGAGAGACGAGAGGCAGATGACTGTTGCACCAAAAAACTTCAAACTAGCCCTGCACATGACTTCTGGGAAGCTTTTGTGCTAACTGTATAAATCCATTATTGAGCAAAAAGCATGCTGGATATTTGTCTCTAAAGTCTAAATACTTGCAAGAGGCCTGAGTCTCCATTTAAGCCCTGTTCAAATCCACGGACATTTTTATTTTGAAGTGCTGCCCGAGACCTCAGGTTTCCATAAATACCAATAATGTTCCAATGACGTGAGTATAAAAAGATGCACAGGAATTTTCCATCTCATGAGACATTGCAGTTTGGGAAGCTCTAGCTTCCTTGAGGGTATCAATATTCAGGGTTCAATGGGTTTATTACTTGAAGCTTTGAGGGATAATGTATCATTTTTTCAAAATGATACATTATATATGAGAAGATAGAAATGTACAATTTAAAATTGAGGCACAGGCATTATGTTAAACCATAAAAAAACAATTATGCGATAATTTATTTGTTTAATTTGAATTTGAGTGAATTCATGACATTTGAACTCTTTTCAGACGTTTATCATTTTCATAAATCCCCATTCTTTTATACTTTTAGACTACAATCATTATTATCTTCATTATTGGTTCATCGGTTCAGTATATATATATTTGTTGGAGTTGATAAACATTTTTTAAAGTAATAGATTTTTGAACATACTGCTTGTGAAGTATCCTTATGATATGTCTAATAATTTAGCTTAAAATTAAATAAAGTTAGTGGTTAAAATGAACGAACACTAATCAATTAACAGATTATTATAATTGCTTTAAATTCATATCTGTCCATGTCTGATCAACTAATTAGCTGATCATTTTAGTATTAGTTTCACCTTGCACTGGAATTTAGCTTTTGTAAAATTGCAAAATGTTTGGCATTGATCTCTCTCTAATGTTTCACGACCTTTGACCTCAAGACTTGACGTGTAATTTTTTGTATTTGTCTGTTTCAGAGCTGAAATTGAAATTGTCCAAACCGATGTGAGTGAACTCGAGACCCGATTAGAAAAGGTGAGATACATAGACCTACACACTCCATTATAATATCGTACTGAGTCACTGTCTGAAAAGGTTTCCAGTACTTCACACACGAAGGTATCAGTTACATGCTGCTCGTGTGTAGAGGTAGTGAAGTGAGAGGTGGGCGGCGGTTGTTGAGGTATTTTTCAGCTGACAGTGAGCAGGAAGTAGCTGCAGGAGATGCTTCCCTATCATTGTCCCAAAGCAGTGAGAGCTACGGTTTGTTCTGCTTCTATGTGATAACATATTCCCCATTATGTGTTTGTGTGAATACATGATACAGTTTCAGATCTATTCTTCTAAAGAATGGGTCACGGGTTGCGTTTCTGTTCCTTTATCAAAAGAAAAAGAAAGCATGGGATGTAAAGCCTTAAATGTCCCTTTTTGTTCGATAAACTATCCCTGCAAAGTGTTATGCAAGGGAATTATTCATGTTCAGCACGGAGATGCAGTGGTTAAAAAAACTGGACTAACTGGGTTCAAACCCTTCGGGCAGCCTTTATCTGTACAAGTGCCCTTCAGCAGAAATAACAGAGTCCTTCCCATATCCAGTGTTGTTGCTCTGTTGCTGAACTCTGACCTTACTGACAAAGAAAGAAAGAGATATTTTTAAAATGTCAGTTCATTCAATTCAAATTGAAAAGAGAGTATAACTTGTTATTTGTTTTTTTTTCTATGCTTCTACCACGCTACATGTTATCATGCCGTTACATGCCCGATTGCAGACATCGAAGAGAAACAGACTGTAAGATAAATGTCAGCTTATTGCCAGAAATTGAATTAGAGGTGTGAATGACACTTCAGAGAGAAGTTACCAAAATCTTATGTTTAGACCATGGTGGAGTAAGAGGTCAGTAAAGATATTACCGAGAAGTAAATCTCCTTCAAAAGTGCCATGTTGATGTTGTAGTCAAAGAAGAGATAGATTCAAAACTTCTATATGGTTGTTTAATCTATCCCATATTCAACAAACTGAACACATGTTCTGTATGCTACATTTTAATGTGCAAAGTAACTGTAGAAGAATAAAGTAGCATAACATGGAAATATTCATGTGAAGTAGCCTACATGTCAAAATGTCTTCAGTGGAAACAGACCTATTGACACACTGTGGCTTATCGGATATAAGCAGTGGGTAAATGTTGGACAAGCTAAAATAAACGTTAGTATATTAAAAGCTCATTCATATTCACATTAACACCTTGTGCTGGGATTAACAAGGTCATCAAACTCAATGTAGAAATACAAACTAGAAAGGCAAGGTACGTTGCTAATAGGCACAGCTAAGCTAACTAAAGAGGAGAGAGGTGTCAAATAAAAGGAGCATTCAACTGTAATGTAACTTTTGCTGAAGAATGTACTCTGTTGCCACAAATGGCATTTACAAGATAACAGTTCATGCTAAAATGTAGCATGTTGCTAAAACAGCAACATCTATCTGAAACTTGCTAACATTAGCCAGCATAAGCTAGGCTTTCTGTCATGCTAGAGCCTGAAGCTTCAAAAACCATCATGTTCTGAATTCAGTATGGTATTTTGTTTACTTCCTTTCATTACACATTTTAATTTACAACATAAATAATTAGTTGTTTCCTCTGATAACATTTACATAATCGTTCCTAAAGTGCAGTCTGTGTCACGTTACCACAGTTCTGAGAAGAGGTCTAATCAACACAATAAGTGGAAACACCTGTTTGGGTGGATCATGGCTCTTAATGTATTTAACCTTTTAAACCTTTTCTTCTGCTTTAAATTCAGTTCCACATATTTGGCTTGGTTTTTATATAGGAAAGGCAAGGTTTACTTTCAGTTTTTTTTAACTTTATATTCCACAGTGTTAACTGCTTTTGTACACTATTCAAACTCAGCTACAACAAGCTAGCTAAAGAGCCGGCAAATTCACTTAGAATTTGGTAAATACCGTAACAGAGTTAAAAGATAAGTGAATATTGGACTTTCAGGTTTTATCAGTCTTATTAGGTGGCCAGAAACATGAATTAAATGAATGCTAATGTTTCTCTTTGTGTGTTGGCTATGTAAACGGGCCACTCTTAGGCGGTGTTTACACAAGAACGAAACGGGTTGTATCTGCTACTTTTCTCTTTCGTATAGCCCGTTCGTTCACACGAGGCCGTAAAGGAACCGCGGAAACGGACCCGCAAACGATAACGGGTCCCAAGGTGGATAGATCTGCAAACGGAACGCTCTGGGGGGGCAAACGGCTCAGTGTGTACGTATAGATCATTTCCTGATAACGATGAAGCCATAGCCCCACCTCTGCTGCTCACTGCTGTAGCATGGTCACTAGCTACTGACCATGCTACAGATGTTAGTGCAAAATCTACAGCTCCTCTACCACAACCATCAGCAACAAGTGGACATGGAGAATTACATGAACTACATGTTGCTAAATCTACAACGGGGCATAAACAGAAGGGCAACCATGGCAACCATGCTCGGGGTCTTCTTCGCTGCTTTTGGTGTAATTTGTGGCAGAAGTACAGCGCCACTTACAGGCCCGGCATATGTACTACAGTGTTTCCAATGGTCTCGTGTGAAAGGACACGTTAAATGAGCCGAATGCGTGTGAACGGAAGACTTTTTTTGATAACGAATTCGGTCCGTTTGCGCTTGCGCTCCCGTGTAAATGGGGTCTTAGCTTCAACGTTAGCCAAAACAAACCTAAAATGAGATGATGTGTCAGTATCATGTTAACAGCTTGTTTGACTTCAACTAAATACAGCTCTATTCTCCCGTACAAATGTTGTCTTTTAACCTGGATGTAACATCAATTTAAATGTTTCTCTCACATATAAATTAGAAAGCAGCATTCAAACCAAGAATCCTTTACATTCAAGCTGTAATGCAGTTCAATGAACTCCAGACAGCATTTAACAAAAGCTAGGGGTAATATTCACCATGCACAGTAATTACACCCTACAACAATAACACTCTATATCTGGATGTTTCATTGCTTTAATGTGTGGACCCCTGGAATAACCCACAATGTTTAATTATTCCTACTGATTATGACCAACCATTAGTCACCCTAATTGGTTCTAGTTTTCTTATTCAGGATGAAATTGACTGTGGTGTTGCATGTTTGTGTCATCCAGCTTGTGAAACAATGCCATGCCATGCTGGAGGCCGGCAGAGTCTACTGCCAGACCAGCAAGAGCTTCGTCAACGGCCTGCGGGAGCTGGGACACCAATGCTCCGGGGAAAAGACCATGGAGGTGAAAAAAACCACACATGTCAAGTCACATTTACTTGAAAAAGCGTTAGTTGAATTATAATCAGAATTCCTTTATTAGTCCCACAGACATTTACAGTGTTACTGAAAAGCGGCATAGAAGGAAACAAAATGCAAGCAATACTAAGGAGAAGAAAAGCACACATTAGTAACTATTGACTATTGCAGTAATTATTATACTATCATACGTTTTAATACAATCTGGGATATACTACTTTGTTTAATTTCTTTAACAGATTTTCTCTATAGTTAACGTTTTTGGCACAACATGGGTTTGAATGAGGCTGGATAGACTAAATTGGAACCGTGATCACAATCTGCACCATCCTACTTAACAGAGATATAATGAAATGACAATGCTGCAAAACATCGAAGAGAGTTTAATCTACGATGTCTGTCCCACAGGAGTGTTTGGACAAATTTTCCAAAAAGCTGTCTATCATCTTGGACGCCCAGGAGGTGAGTCTGTCTGTGTCTTTCTGTCTGATTCTCTCAGCCTTTGACACCACCATCTCCATTTCTTATCCACAGCAGTTTGTGGTCAAACAAGGTTTCAGCTCACTGTTGAACACATTTGACATTTACCAGTTATCTGTGCTCACTGCGATACATGTGTCTCTGTCTCCTTTTCCCTTATTAGGAAGTGATTGAAACCACACAGAAGACGGTCAAGACGAAGCTGCAGAACTTTGTGAAAGAGTGAGAGACCTTTTTGTTCTTCATCTAGATGCACTTTTTCAGGCTGAGTCACTCCACCTCATGTCTGCTAACCATTAGCACACACATTGAATTCAATTTGGGGATTATGATCCTTTCATCAGACTTCTTCTTGTGCTTTGTCTTGTGCTTATTACTGGTAATGATATGGTAGAATAGATGAGAGAAACAATGTCTCATAGCCAGTGATATGCTTTGATCCTTTGGGCTCACATATTTCATATAACCATTTAACATCCCCCAAAAAACTGAATTGGGCATTTGGAGATCATCGACCCTATCCACTCCGTTATTTGGATCCACTCTGAACATTTAATGGGTTCTTTGTTGGGCCATTAAAATCCTTTTACCAAGTTTAAAGGGGACCTATCATGCAAAATGCACTTTGTGATGTCTTTTATACATAAATATGTGTCCCCGGTGCGTCGGGGAACTCACGCAGCGTCAGAAAATAAAACCCTCTCTCTTTTCCTCCGTACCCAAATCTTTTAAAAACGGGTGTACAACGAGCGGATACAGATTACATCCGAACTGACGTCAGTTCGGCAGCGGACCCACAGAAAGTTGCTATCAGAAACAATGCCTGACGTGTTTTGGACGTCTTTGTTTACATTAGCAAGCCTCGCTAACACTCAGAGCTAACCTGTACTGGAGAGCACATGTGTTTTAAAAAGCAGGAAATAAAAAAAGGAACTCACCTTGTGATAAACCCGCAAGAGAAAAAGCTAGAAAAATATTGTTTCAGTAATAATCCTTGACGTGGTTTAAACAGGATGGTGTTTTANTGTGTGTGTGTACTTGTGTGTGTGTACTTGTGTGTGTATCTTATATGCAGAGGGGGAGGCTTGTGTAAATACATGCAGAGCCAATGGGAACGCTGCCATATTGGGCAAACCACATGTGGAGGCAGTCTGACACACACTGTGCCATGTGTGACTCACAACGTATACACTGAGAACGGTTGCCATGCGAAAATGCAAATGTGTAACTATTGATGTAACAACTCCACATACTGATCACATGCTAACACCAGGGGTTTCAATATGGTTGTTAGTGTATGCTTACACTAAAGATGTGAAAGGATTTGGAAAGTTTGCTTTAAAGATATAATCTTAAATAACAGTGAGCATAAGAGAAGCCACTTTCTAAATTAATTGGTTATATATTTTTTTCAAGATTCAAAGATTGAAAGGTTTTATATTGTCATATAAGCTGCAGTGTAGACCTGAGCCCCTCCAACAATGCTAACTATATAATAAAATACAAAAATACAAATACTAAATAGTGCAATAAGTCTATATGCATGTCAATATGATATGTACAATAACAGAATATAAAATTAAATATTGTACATTAAGACAAAACTAAATACGGTTTACATCTTGATGTTGTAGCTGTAATGATGAGGGCTTTTATCAGAGCGTATAAATGTATGTATATATACATTTATATATACATCATCCATTAGAGATCTTTATACCATCCTTTTAAATATACCTTTACTCTATGGGCCATAACCCATCCGCCCTATTAGATGTATGATGCTAACTAGCCGCGGCAGTCCAGTTTGAGGTCAAGCAAGGTGACCTCCTGAGGGAGAGGAAGGGATTTTTCTGTGTGTGTGTGTGTGTGTGTGTGTGTGTGTGTGTGTGTGTGTGTGTGTGTGTGTGTGTGTGTGTGTGTGTGTGTGTGTGTGTGTGTGTGTGTGTGTGTGGAAGTAGAAGTGTTTCTGCAGGAATGTGCTTGGGGCTATATTTATTTACACAAGACTCGCTGCATATTTTTCTAAGAGACAAGTCAGGGGTGTGTGTGGGGTTGACTATTTTGAATATATTCGTTTCCTTCCTTCAATTTAATATATTTATAACCCTGTTCTGATTGGCTGTCCTGTTGCTAGGTAGGTATCAGCCCTGTCTCTATTGGTTTCTTTCTGTCAGTGTGTGTTTATTTTTAAATTAATAGATAGCAACAAGCTGCATTATCTTATTACGGATTATATGATGATTTTAGGATCTACACACGGATGCCGGCGTTTGATTTCAACGTAGTGTGACGCATGCGCAGTTGGGTAGGTGTTGCGGGAGAAGTAATGCTATTTATGGTGCAATAGCGCCCTCGAGTGGACAATCATAGGAATTACGTAATCAGGATTAAAAACAAAAGGTACCTGTATTTCTTTACAGTTAAGTAAATAAATCAGATTACTGTTACTTTACTAAACAATGTGATTTAATAGCAGGAAAGAAGTACATTTTTAACATACTATCATATATAACGCAGCATATGTACACATGTAAACACTTTAAGAGCAGTAGGTCAAATATAAATACTGTGTTTGCTTTTATTTCACGCATTAAACTAAAACAGTGACTCTACTCTTATCACCTAAATTGAATCTGTATATTGCTTTTATTTGCTGTGAACAAGTTATGTTCACAGTTATACCAACAGATTTGATAAAAAATGATATGGATGATCTTAATGCATGTGCTGTAGTAAACAAACACAAAAAATAACATGTTCTGTTTCTAGTTAAAGGAGAACTCAGAGGACACATTTCTGTTCCTAAATATCTTGGTTTCTTCTTTTCTAAGGTCACATTGCTCTGTTGTCTTACATAATAAGTACAAAAAACACCATAGTGATTTTTTCTTGCATTTGTCTACATTGCATTTTATATCTAAGTAATCCAAAGTAACGGCAACTAGTAACTAGTCATTTTAATGCATTAATTACTTGCCTAAAAATCATCATTAATAGTTAATTAAGTCCTCCAAAAGGAGAGTGGTGTAGTATCCTCTCTTGGCCACCAGGGGTCACTGCTTGTTCACTAAAGGCAGAATGACATCATCCGTCTGAAGGCTAATTTCCTCAATAGGAATTACAAATACTGGACAAATGGGTAGAAAGACTGACCACATGACAAGGTACACGCGTGGAAACATGATATTTATTTTGAATGTCTGATAGGGGAACCTTCATTTCCTTTATTTTAATCATAAAAGTGATTAATGATCATTTAATTGACATAAAAGTGGATGAAATTGGTTTATTGGAAAGGAAGTCCTGCAGTCTTTTCCCAAATATAATATGACACACACTGTGATTTCCTGTCCCTGAGTCTAATGTTATGAAAGATAGTTAGCGTGAAGCCGCCAGACACTTTATGAACCATGGAAAACATAATTTGTGCTTTTATATCTGCATTGTTTCTGAAAATAATAAAATAAAATATTTAAATTAGCCACAAATATTGAAGTGCAGGAGTTTAGAGACACTCACACACAAACTTCTGATTTGATCTACGACACCACAACTGTTATAAGAATACATGAGCAGCCACTGTCGAGGGAAAGAGCACACACACACACACACATACACACACACACACACACACACACACACACACATACACATACACATACACACACACACATACTACTACACACACTGAACGTCTCTACCACACACAATACACACACTCACACAAACACTGGATGTCTCTACCACACACACACACACACACACACACACGTATAATCCAGCTCCCCTGATTGGACCCTGGATGAATGCCGGTTGGGATTAGTCGTTTCTTTCAGAGAAAAGCCACCAATTGTCCCGTGTTCTGTCGGGTCCTCTGGGTGCTGCTCTCTCCTCGCAAAGGGGTCAATTTAAAAAAAGCTGATGTGCAAACTCTGAGATATAAAGAAGCCTGGGACTAAAGCAACATAAATCACCTGTTTTGCAGCAGGAAAATAAAGCACTTACGGCAGCCTATTCCAACCTTAACACACTCCAAACTGCTTTCCGTACAAAGGAATCGACTCGGGTCAAAATGGAGGTCCTGTGGTAATAAGATATTCAAAGACAATTGTCTCCGTTCAGACTTGAAGACATGCAGCGTACAAAAACCCTCCTCCTGAAAGCCTAATTCAAATAGCCACCCCCTAGGAAATGTCACAAAGAAAATGTGAAGGATAGTGTTGCAGTAATCCTCCGGTTGGTTTTACAATCTGCATTAATGTCGAGGTGCTCCCACAGGTGTGAGGCAATATGTATATTTATATATAATAGGATTGGGGAGTAGCTGATTACACAAAATAAGGTAACGGGAAAAAAAACTCTTTTTCGAGATGCATTTTTTGTAAAAATAGCTCAAACTTAATACATGTAGTGGAGTAGAGGTATAAAGTCGCATAAAATGGAAAAACTAAGTAGAAATACCCCAAATTGCACAGTTCTTGAGGAAATGTACTTCCCACCATGTCTCTAATGCGTGGTGTGTTTAAGGCCACTCTGATTTTTAAACGTGCTTCATGTGAGCATCTGGCCTCCTTTATCCTCCCTCCTCCGCCTTAATTACGCAACACAATGGAGATGAGATCTGCCTGTAATCTCGCAGAATAATAACCCCCCCCTCCTCTTCCTCCTCTTCCTCTTCTATACCAAGCCTGCCACTAATTCAATATAAATGTAAATTACCTGGAGAAAAGAATAACAGAATCTCATTTTATTTACACGACTAATCACAATAAAGTCAGGCGGATGAAATATGAGTGAAATATACGGTCTGCGTATTTTAAACTTTTTATACTATCATGTTGTTTACATCCATACGGCTTTTTGTACTTTCTGTAATGGATTTTATTCACACGTCAGAGGCTGAAGAAAACACAATACATTTTGGTTTGAAGTACATTCAATCAAGTATTTTACTCAGAGGTGGGAGAAGGACTCCGATCCTGTTCTGAGTAAAAGTAGAAGTACTCAGACCTTGTTCTCGAGTAAAAGTAGAAGTACTCAGATCTTGTACTTGAGTAAAAGTAGAAGTACTCAGATCTTGTTCTTGAGTAAAAGTAGAAGTACTCAGATCTTGTTCTTGAGTAAAAGTAGAAGTATTCAAATCTTGTACTTGAGTAAAAGTAGAAGTACTCAGATCTTGTTCTTGAGTAAAAGTAGAAGTACTCAGATCTTGTTCTTGAGTAAAAGTAGAAGTACTCAGATCTTGTTCTTGAGTAAAAGTAGAAGTACTCAGATGTGTAGGAATACTCTGTTACAGTAAAAGTAGTCATTGTGCAGATTGGTCCATTTCAGAATAA